ATTAAAGAAAACTTCTAATAAGTTTCAATCCTGTTTCTGCCCAAAGTGAGCAAACACAAGGCACGTGAACGGAAAGGACCAAAGTCGCTACTCCGGCTGGTTCTTCCCACGGACTGAGCGCCCGCTCTGCAGGCCCGGGACGCTGCGGGAGAGACCCAGGCCCAGAGAGACGGAGAGGACGCACACGCAGAGCACAGCAGCTCCCTGCAGAGACCACCACCGAGCAAGGCACCCAGGACGAGGGCCAGAGAGGCAGGGGCCGCCCAGGGCACAGGCCGAGGTATCCGGACGCTCGGGTGACCGTGGACCGCGGCCCGCAGCGCTGCTCTCGCGAGCACAAGGTGCTGGAACACCTGGCCACACGCCGCGAAACAGCGAGTCCTCACCAGAACTCTTCCCACCCGCCCCGGCAACGTGGTCAGAACCAGTCTGCACAGCAGCCGCAATCCTGCCTCCCGGGAAGAGCACCCTCCGCAGGCCGCGGCGCCTGGAGCCAGGGGGGAGCCGCACCCCGGGGCGGACGTACTCACGGGATGAGACGCCCAGCGCCTCCATCCGAATTCACATCCAAGGAAAGCGGGGAAGTCCACTTTGTGAAGTCACGGCGGGTGGGAACGAGAATATTCGAAGAGCGCGTGGGAAGCCCACCACCGCGGCGCTTTCTCAGCGTGCCAGCTTCCGAGCGGCGGCGGGCAAAGACGACCGCCCTGCTTTTCCACGTAGTGTTCAATTCACAAACCAAACGCTTCGCTTTCCGGTCTGGTTTTCGGTGCTTCTTTCCAGAGCAGCTGCTGCTTTAGACCCATGCAGGCCCTTCCCCCGAGGACCCCGATGCCCCCGATGCCGGCAGGGGCACCGTGACCTGCCTCCGGCACCACGTCCAGGAGCAAACCCAGGGGCCCGTGCAGCTGTGGGGTGGCCAGAGCAGGGCCTCCACCTGCCCGGAAGGGCCGAGCCACCCCCTCCCTCACTTCCCCAATCCACAGCCCAACAGAACTTTTCTAAATTACAGTCACGCTAAGGGCCAGAAACGTGGGGAAAAAAAGACATACAAAACTCAAGTCCGGACTTTCCACAGTTCTATTCAGCAAACATAAAATTCCTCAGTCGAATGGCTACTAAGCATTCACTCTCCCATTTCCGTCCTCACCCGGTCAGTGTCTGAGGGCGCAGCACCCTCCAGGAAATTGGGCTGTGGACCCGATCCTCCCTCCACCCTTCTCGTTGACTCAGGTAACTCACTACGTGCGCACGTGCCCCGAGCAACGCACACGTAAACGACCCAAGTGGCCGAGAGGACCAGGCTAACGTCTGGACCAACACAGCACATCAGCCTCTGCTCATTAGAGGCCTCTCTCCTCCACACATAAAGAGCGACTCCCACCAAAGGGCAACAAGAGAGAATTACCAGCTCTGGAGCTTTGGGGCAACTCAGTGAGTCCCTGACTGCCCCCACCTGCACCCTCGCCTCACAAGCCTCAACCGGTCCCTCCCTCCCCCATGAAGCAGCGAGGAACGGAGGAGGAACCAGAGAAGGATCTAATCGGAAAAGCGGCTACTCAGGAGCTAGAACAGCACAGCCAAGACGTTGATCGTTCTTGGAAGGGAAGGCAAAAAGGGAGGGGAGTGGGATTTCCCGCACGCCCCCAGGAACGGGGGCCACCAGACCAGCCACACTGTTGGCCACGGCAGGATCAGCGTAGCGGCTGGTGAGCCTGGGCCACCCCAGCACCTGCCCTGACCACCCACAGGGTGGTCCAACAACAGCTTACCAACCGGCTAAGGGTGACCAGAAGACCTTCCAAGGATGGTGCTGTGGCCCAAAACATCAAGGTCGCCCAGCAGGTCTGGGCGAGCCACACAGCAAGGCCACGAATCTCTCCCCAGCCACATCTTTTAGCTCTACTCCAAACCGAAACCAATTTTATTCCTAAATTAAGAAAAGAAACAAACAAACAGGGGCCAGACTACACTTTCAGTACGTGGTTTATTAACTACATCACCCGCTTTCAAAGATTCAGATCCAAAGCCGGCGTTTTGTCCGTCGGGCTGGTCACCCAGGACCTGCGAGCACCCACATTTTCCAACTGGAAATGCTTTCTCCTGCAAGTGGCCCAGCAGCCCCACAGGCCAGCCCCTCTTCAGCACCGCTCATCAGGAGCGGGCAACCACAAGGCGCTGGGCACAGCCAAGGGAGACCAGACACTTCTGGATTCTCAATTTGTTAGGTCACGTGGCTTCCCTTTCATTTACTTGCATTACAGCAAACGCTAAGACCCGGGGCTCTTCCACAGAAGCTCTGGATGCAAATCTCACACTCTCTGCCCCACAGGTAGAAACGCAAGTGAAATGGTTTTTTAAAAGTCCAGCTGACTGATCTGCAAAGACACACCTTGGTTTCAACAATGGTTTCCTCCGGATAAGAAGGACGAGCAGTTTTGATCACTTCTGTCTGAATTTACTGATTCTACGAGAAGTATGTGCTGCTCTATAAAACTTCACTTGGGGGAAAAAAAAAAAAAACGCACCTCTAACTCTTGATACAAAGTAAGTGCCCAGAGTCTTGGGATCGAACAGCACTCCAACGTAAGGTCCCACTGCACCTTACAACCGAACCGGTGAGCTCGACGAAACTCAGGACCCGTTAAAACCACATCACGATGTCCAATCGCAACGTGCTGGTGTTCCCACCACAGATACACAGAAGCACGACACAAAAAGCTATCCTTCAACATGCTGAACGTTCTACTTCTCAACAACTGAAACACCCGCGAGTCTGTCATACGCCCAATTTGTGAGATGCGCAGGTTCGATTCCCATGCGACTCACTCACCAACGATTCGCGGTCCGGCAACAACAGGTACCCCACGAGCTGCTCTCAGGGGCGGACTTCATCACCTCAACGCTTCGCTTCCTTCACCGAAGGGTTTTAAAGCCCTCGTGCCCTAATATCAAGCGTGCTGCAGCCTCAAAGCTCAAGGAGTGTCTGAGCGAGGGGTCTGCTGTCCCACCCTCAGGCTCTGGCATAAGACCAAACCGCTTACCTCACATTCCGAACGAAGTAAGAGCGAGTCGGCAGCAGGAGGAGCAAGGAGGAAACAAGGGCAGGGACAAAAGTGGGCACAGCTGGGTGGGGACTGGCCTCTGTGACACGTGTAAGAGCAAGGCCAAGGGCCTGACCCCACTACCACGAACCCCCCACTACCACGAACCCCCCACTACCGCAGACCCCCCCTCCCCCCACTGCTGCGATCCTCAACCACTGCAGACTGCTCTGTTGGAGAGCCCTACACGGACCGGGCAACATCCACACCGCGAAGGAAACGGTCAGGAAACCCAGAAAGGCTGTCACAACAG